ATATATAATGTGTTTACACTGGTCAACTAGATGGATGCCAAGTATGTCCAGTATCCTCCCTGGCACCACGCTCGAAGCGTTAAGATCACAACGTGTGTGGATTTGATCGGAAGTTGCTCGTGGATCTAGCGCACGCCATTATGATAGATTTTTTTGAACTAACAGGCATGCACCTCCTCCCCTGCGACACTCTGGAGGGCCGGTGAGCCCCGCTTGCTTTGTCGGAGGGCCTACGCTGGATTAAAGGGCGGCGCTACAGCGGAGGTAAGTTTAGGGATCTCGGGTGACAAGGAATTATAGGAAATTGTGATGGCTGGCGGATCGAGACCAGTGGGCAGCAGATAGGGAGGTGCCCTTAGGGTACCTCTACCTTATTATCAAATATAGTATGAAGGCTCTGACTTTGACTGCCAGGGCTGTGTAGGTACCGATACGAGATGGAGAAAAGTTGGTATTGATAATTGTTGTCCTTCAGCCCGATACCCATACTCACTACGTGCAGCCGCAGTACTACGAGAAGCCCTAGGCGGCAAGGATGTGACGCCCTTGAGGTGTTGTTGTACTTCTTTAGATAAGACGATCTATCAGGAGTACGAGGAGACTATCTACAATTTCGTGAAGGCTCTCAAGATCTACTCGTTTCCCCTTGCCCTAGATGACAGAGAACGAGATGGTGCAGAAAAAAATACGTAAGTCGAAACGAATTGCTCACGCTTGGTGCCCTGTATAGTAGTTATGGTATTTAGGGGCACCTCTGAAATTGATTTTTCCTCGTGAAATGTGGTATTAAAATTTTGTACTGAGTTATTGAAATTTTATTACTCAACAACTTTCGTATCATTCACTCTCGAATGAGCCCCGTTATCGAGGAAGGGATGGAGTATCTTCACCAAGGTGGTAAAATCTTCGTAGTGCGCATCATGTCATTGTATGTAATTGTCGCTTCATAAGCTGCAAGGTGATCCCTAATCCTGTCGTTACTCTCGAGATCGGTGTCCGATTGGGGGTGTACAACAAATAGTGGGTTGGGGTGGAGGACAGTAACAAGCTGGATTGGTACAAGCCTTTGAGGTTACGTACAGGTACTCGGAATCTCTCTCGTGTTGAGTAAATATGGAAATTCTCCGTGTATTGTGTCTAGAGCATGAGATCAACTGTGTATCGTATCCTATCGAGATGGCAACCCTCAGGGCTTCCTCGCATGAGGTGCTCTTGGATGAGGTTTCCATTGGAGGTTGGTGGACTCGAGTTGTAGTGGGAAATTGGGAGGGCCATGTGGTTTTTGCCTTTTTTGTAGGGATGGAGTATCTTTAGTTTTCTTCCCTGTGCGTGCAAGATATTTTGTCTGCACACTTATAGTTCCATTTCGAATCATCATGACCCTTCTCGAGTTCTACCCCGCCACCAATGTCCCTGTAGCGGAGCTCTCGAGCCGCCTACGTAGAGATGAGGACGGCGAGACTGAGGTCATCAGAGGGCGTCTGGAGCGATGTAGGTAATGTTGGCTCGTCTGCTGCTACTACTGGGTAGGTCTCTGTGTGGCCTCAGGCAGAACCATAAAGTGAAGGCGGCCCATCTCTGTGGGCTACGACTGAACGAGAGGACTTTCCCTAAAGGGGTCCTCAGCCTGGCGCATCTCAGAAGGCTGGATTTGAGTTACAACAACCTCCTGCGGTTGGATGAAGAGTAAGTTCACGGAGGAGTGGTATGATACATGCTTTGATGGTCAGACTGGTGCGGTTGGATGCCTTACGAGAATTGTGGCTGGATGGGAATCCCCTAGAGGAGGTAGGATGAGGCCGAGGTGTGGTATGGAGATATCCACAGCTACCCGTGTCACTACATCGATTGAAGCACCTTGAGCTCTTGTCACTGCAAGAGCTGCCGAGGTTGAAGAACCTCCCTCGGGAGTACGCGGAGCTCAGACCTACACTAGTGGACGTTGGAGGGCTGCAAGGTTGGAGGGGTTCGCTCCTCGAATGGATCCTTGTTGCTGTTTTGTGATTGGAAATCTTGAGCTCTGGGCGTTATGTATTTACTTCCTACAGTGATGAAGGGGCTTTTCAGATTGTCCGATGATGAACCGTAAGCTGATTGAGGCCCTTAGGGTTGGGGGTATGGATGGATTCTTCACAGTGTTGGAGATCAAGCATACTCGAAGACAACAACGATGCAAGCTTGTACGCGGGGAACCTTGGATCGCCGCTCGAATGTGGATATTCACCCTCTGTGTATGCTTACTTTCACCCTACTCAACGGTGTTCTATATGGCTGGATAGTAGTATTATTTCATTACGATCAACTAAGCCTAAGTCTGAGACCGAATTGGATTCGATCACTATAGACTATCGCGAGTGTATTGAAAGCGTCTCTCCTCCTTCATCATCATTTATGTCGTTGAGGCTTTCATAATAACTCCAGATTCGCTTTCCTGGAGGCCCTCATGATATGCTAGAAACACAATTCACTATCCTGGTATTGGTGCTTGTAGATGCGGATTCTCACTGAGTTCCTCTACCCCTTTGAAGATCGTTCTACTATTCTTGCCTGTGCTAAGAGGCTTACTCAGAGGGTCAAGGTCGACAGCGTTACACCAGAAGCAGCGAGAGTTGCCATGGCCCGTCTCATTAAGTGGGATTGGATTCGGCTCCAGGCTGGAAAGGCTGGGCTTTCGACCAGGCATGGGGAGCGTATACTTCCTGGTAAACTCGCTGATGTGGATGAGGATGTAGTGTTGGAGAAGCTCAAGGAGTTCGATGAGGAACTGCGGACGAGGGAAGAGGTGATGACGTCCAGGAGGAGCGTTGGTGCTACCGGGAGGATCTCACTTTTTAGGTTGCAACACTAGAACTTCGAATCAAAGCAGCGATGGTGGATCTACCAATGGAAGTGGTACATGGTCTCGCCCTCAAGGTGGGCTCTCGGCCTGTTGCGGGGTGTTCCTCGTAGTGAGTTTTGGATCCACTTCAGTTCAAGTCGACTGTGCCAGCTGCGAGAATAGGATGCATTTTAAGGAACTGGAAGGGGCTCTTCCCGACGTCTAAGATGAGTGCGGAAATGAATCGCATTTCTTTATAATTTTTTCGCAAGGAGTGGCCACAGTAAGGTACCTCGGAAATGCTTGATGAAGGTATGTTTGAGGTGGACGCCATATTAGGACGCTTCACTGAATTGCGTCAAAAAAGGGAGCTCAAGAAGATCAGGTCGGCCGAGCTAGCTGGCTTAGCGCTGTGCCATAGTGCTATTTACAGGGAGATATTCATGGATCGTTACCCGGCCTCGTCGAAAGAGGTTATCGATCCCGTGATCGATTATGTAATTTCTACTATCACTGGTGTGGTACCGCATTTGTGAGGCTGTCAGTTCATAACGACTATGAGCCCCGAGAAGAGGAAGCGTTTGTTGGTTGAGGATGCATTGAGAGGGGAGCTACCGAGTAGGGTTGATTGATAGGGTATGTCTGGTGATCAGGTTGGCGTATAGGCACTATTGAGGAGTGTCTGAGACTGTTGAGGGAGGGCTTGCCATTGATAACAGAAGCAGAGGCTCCATCTAGTGTCTCTCATGAAGTGTCGTAAGCCTGTGGTTGACCATTGTGTTTGGTGGGTAGGGTTCATGGTTTTATCGTCTGTAGCTTTACCACTGGTTTCCGTTATCATCCCTGAATATGTCAACAAACGTAGAAAGTGGAGCTCTCGACGGAGCCGCCAAGGAGGCAACTGCTGATGTTGTCCAAATTGACGTTGATGGTCCACCTCATCCTGTTGGTGGGGAAGAAGTGGGCGAGAACGAGCAGCACGATGTTGATGAAGATCTAGACTTGGGAGTAGATGGTGATGACGAGATCATGGAAATGCAACATAAGATCCAAGAGCTCGAGGATGAAGCTGAGCGATTGAGGCAAATGACGGAGCAAGGTAGACAAGTGTTGGGGTTCCAATGGCCCAGCATGGGTGTCAGGTGCAACAGGGAATGGTGATGCTACTGCCTCTGATCACGAGAGTGTGGAGATGACTCCGGAACAGCAAGCGGCTCAGAGCCAGGAGCAGGATAGGCGATCAGTAGGGCGGCGGCACATGTTGAGGAGGAACTTGATATGTTCCTTAGATT